TCTTGTCTTAAGGTGTGGTCACATTCTCTGTTGCTTGGCAGATTTTCTCAGGGGAAATACAGTCACGATTGGGAATTTCATGTCAGGGAAAGAAATTAATTGCAATTACACTTAGAATTTATTTTGATTGTTTTTTTTCAAATATGAATCAATGAGAACATTGTTTGTTCAAACCAGAAAGTCATACATGACTAGTTTCCTTGCTGAATGCAAAAGTGTGTCACATCAATTGACCAAGCAGCTTACCTGACATCCTTTAGAAAAGCTAAGTGCAAAAAAGCGCTGTCAGTGGAAGTGTGCAAACTAATGATTGGAAAGAAACCTGCAAACTAGTGCAAATGTACACCAAAATGTAAATTATGTATAAACAAAAAGGTTGAACAAGCAAATCTCTTGTTTGCTTGTTCAACCTTTTTTGTTTATACATAATTTACATTTTGGTGTACATTTTGCCTACTAATTCAGATTAGGTAAAATGTTAGTCACACTGAGGTAAGCAATGATATTCCATAAGTAGGACCCTTGGAGACAAGATTTCACATCACTACTCTACCTTTGTATTCTCAAGCTTTGCTATGCACCATGTCACAAAATCTGATCTCAAATCAGTTTCTGCTGTCATATTTTTTTGTGTTTACTCAGTATGAGATGAGAAAAAAGCTGATCTATCGTTTTTTCCTTTTATTTGGGCTTAAGACCGGGACACACCAAGCCGACTTCCATGAACTAGCAGCGACGAAAACTGACGGTGCAGCGTCTGGACCAAAAAGCTATGCTTGAAAACACCGCTCAGACTACAGCCAACTGCAAACTAACACATGCATTCTGCGCCTGCTTGAGAGGAATTAGCTGTCTATATCAGCAGTTATCAATAGTATGTATTAGTCATTTAAAAGGAGAAACCGAAACAAGGATATACGCAGATATACGAAACGTAAACAAAGCAGTGCTTGCTTACCATTTTGGATATCAGTTATGTTGATAACTTTATTTATTTTAAGCGGCTCATGTTATGAAAATATTCACATATTGGAATGCTTGGGTAAGATCACGTAACATTAAAATAGCCTTCTGTCTGTGCCGCCTTCATTTACTTATTAGTTTTCATCACTTTCGCTTTAATTCTCATGCACTGACCTGTTCGCTAAACTGAACATCCAATCAGAGTTCTCACTCATGCCGACGGCCCCGACGCTGATTCAACATGTTGAATTGGGCAAACTGCCGCCGACATGAGTCCGTTGAGAGCCGACGTGTGGAACACACCAAACAAACTAGCCCGACAGACCCGACGTTGGCCGTCGGCTTGGTGTGTCCTGGGCTTTATAGGCCATTTTTTTCAAAGTTAAACTTGCATTAATTTTACATGGCTTTTTAAACATGCAGCTCTTTTGTGCGAGACGCGAGTGCAACAGTAATAGATGTCCGTCTAGAAAATGCGTGAAATATGCGCTCTGTGTGAACGGCTTGGTTTCGGTTTTGATGTAAACAAGATCTTCTCCGCATTGATGTTCTCTTTTTCCGCTATATTTTTAATGAACAACGCAGCAGCATTGGGATATGTGATACCCATTTTTCATGATGGGAAAAGGAGTCTTGGATTGGCTGTCATCTGCCACATCTCTTCTTAAACTTGGAATGGTTTCACTACTAAATTCCCTCCCACCTCCATTTGCCTCAATGATCCAATGAAAGGACAAGGTCCTAGATTGAGGCAGCTTCTGCACTTTGGAATTTGGGCAAAGGTTTTACTTGTGTACTTACAGCGGTCAGAGAAACTACACAACAGCAGTGGAGGTGGAGAGGCCCTGCCTTTCCTCCCTGCTGCTAGGAAAACTGTCCCACACCTCCCTGCCCCCTCCGCATGTACTTCTCCTGCACCCACTCAACCACTCCTCCTAGGGGGTCCAGTTGGGCCTAGCCGTGGTATGGAGCACGAGCCAATGTCCAATCTCGGGTTACACGATTGTGCAACATACGGCTTTGAACACCCTTTCAGCCCTTCAGAGCTAAAGTCCTACTTCCTTCTCAGGGCCTCATGCATTATGAGTTTAGCCACTTCTGGTCCTAGTAAGTCCCAGAGTAACATTCTCAAAGAGCAACGTTTTTTTAACAAGGTTCTGCTGACCTTAGGTGCCTAGTTGAGGGTCAAGTTTGAAAAAAAAAACTGGGATTCAAGCCTGGGAAGCCCCTGATATTTTTTTGGATGTGCCCAAGAGATATAATGTTTCATGGCATTAGGGCTAGGTCTGTACTGCTAACTGTTTCTGCAACAAATGCAATGGTCAATTAATCTGGTGTGGCTTCCTTTCTTCCAGGTGTTTTTGTAAAGATCAAGGAGAATTAGAAGAAGAAAAACTTAGAGTGTGCTGTGCTTATGTGACTCCATCTGTATTTGAAAGCAGTTTTGGTTAAATTTTAGGACTTAATGCCAAAGGTATTGTACACCATAATTTGTACTTTCTGATAAATCTTGCATTTCCATCATGAAACACCTGAAGTAGAAGATGATGACCATTTAACAAGGATCCCGATAGTGCAGCCCAGTTTGGCATTGCACTAGTGTTTTTGTACTAGTTGCCCCAACATTTTGGTTTATATCATGTGGATTGTAGGTACCTCTTCACCCAACCAACCTTCTCTTTCGGTTCCTCCTCTCCCCTCACAATGAGGATTGTTAGGTTCTGATAGAATTTCTACCATTGTTCAAGGAAGCCAATACTTCCTAAATATGAGTACCAAAGTATGACTCTCTTTGGAGTAGGAGGGATGGACAGAAGGGTGTGTGTGGTGAGCTATGCAGTCCCAGACGGCCGCTCTACCCACGCCGCACTGGGGCGGGGACTGGTTGCCAAGGGGGCTTGGGAGCGACTGAGTGAGAGAGATCGCCATGACCCAGATTGTGATGGTTCCCTCTTCCTCTCCCCCTCCACCCCCAATCATTCCCTCTCTTCTTCACATCTTTCCCATTCTTTCGTTTTCTACTCTCTGCTACCCTCTCTACTTTGTGCTTTCCTCTCTAATCCTTGATGTTCCCTCTCTCAGTAATGAGAACCCCCTCGTCTCTCCATAACTTCCTGCTGGGGAATAGAGGGACTGGGGTCACACCCACCCTACACACACACACACACACACACACACACACACACTCTGGTAAATGCTTCCTCACCAATATACATCATCATCATTTCTCCAAAAGGATTTGGCAGTGGGCGAATGCTACTCTCAATCATTGAAGTGCTCACATACTTCCATATTGCCGGAGCTGGTCTTGTGTGTATAACTTGCAGCCAGAGTCCAAAAGTCACTTTCTGCCAGTTGTGGGTGAATTAAGAAAAAAACTTAAATGGCATAAAATTGTATTTTGCATTATGCTTTAGAATAAATTAAAGATAATATATATGTTTATCTTTTGGGATTGTTGACATTGGTATTATTTAGCAGTGTTTTCGTTGCATATTTGAGACACTGCCTCTCATTGTGGGTCTCCTTCCCACAGTCTAGCTGCTGCTAAAACAGAAACATTAGCGCGCATCATATTTTCATCTTCGTGGCTCTATGCAAGGAATATTAGACATTTGTGTTGCCAAATAGAGTTTGAAAGTTAAAAAAAAAACTTTAGGCATCATAGATAAACTAATGATAACATTTCCAGGACAAAGGTATTCAGCCTTTTTTGGGATTCCTTAATGGATGGAAAGATGTGTGGCGCAAGATCCTATCCCCGTGCAGAGAGCCATCCCCCGATTTCATTGGCTGATAGAACTTTTTATGGGTACACTATTCAGTGCTCATTAGAAATGCTAGAAAACTCATTTACTGTGTATTTAGTTGAAAATTGTTATTCATTTTAAATTATTAATTGTTAGCGTCTTTCAAAGCTAGACATGGTCAAATTTACCATTTTCCATTCCTTTGTGGTTCTCGTTTACTTGCATCAAAAGGTCTCAGCCCATCATTCGTAACATTTGTCTTAAATGTGGCAGTTACTGCCTGTTTGCAAGTACCACAATTTTATTTACTCACCAAAGCCACGTGGTGAGTGCTTTTTACAGACGTTCTGCTCACATTCAGTGTGTATGAAACGTTGGGTTACACTGGTTTTTACCAGCCGTCTCAGACAACATTAGCCATCAAAAGGAATGCATAGATGTTTGTTCACAGTGCATGTGTGTTCACAGTGTGTCCGTGCCAGGTTGGGAGGAGGGGCACATTGAGGGCGGCCACACCCCAGCTTATGGGGGGCCACACCTCTTTGTGGAATCTACTGCAACTGGGTCACATGACCCCCACTCCCACCCCCATACCTAAGCATTACCACATTTCTCCCTCTCTCTCTCCACTAATACTGCTGCTCTACTCTATGAGACTGGCCTCTCTCCTGCTATTCGGTCTTAAAGAATTGGGTGTGACTCGGCTCGGCTGGAAGAGGGAGGCGACACAGGATTGTTGACTACTCCTCCCTGCTGGTTCAATCTTTCTCTCCTCTTGTCTTTCTCCAGCTGGTCAGTCTTTAGAACCATCTTTTCGCCTCTAATCTTCTGTTTTCTACACCTTTGCCATTAAGTTTCTAAAGGTACCGTAGACGTAATATCTAAAGTATCTTTAATGTAGTCTTTTTTGCCTTTCTCTTTTTTTCCCATTTCTGTGATTCTCCCTCCGTCTTCAAACATCCCCCCCACATTTGATTGACCTGTACTTGATTTCCACTCATCATCTCTTTTGTTTCCTCCTCCCCCAACTTGTGCTTAAGAGACTAACTGTCCTCTGACTCTTCTCACATTAGTCTGGTGAGGATCATTAACTCTCTCTCTCTCTGTAGTCTCATGCTAACTTTCCTTTCAAATTTAATTCTGAACTCATGTCACTTAGTTCAGGCGGATTGTAGATTTTGTGAATCTGGTCAGAGGTTAGCATTCTGCTAACTCATGAGACTGTTGGTAAGACTACAACTTGATGCTCTGATTAGTTCTTAAGTGTTCTCTGTTTCTCCTTCGCAGTGTCAGACGAGTCCGAAGAAATCCACTGCAGCCACCTCTGAGCCTGTTGAGGAGATGCCATCCATACAAATCAAGCCGGAGCCAGAGGAGGTGGAGTGTATGGTGGTGAGTGAGCTTTTGTAATGTGGCATATGTGTGTGTGGGGGTTGAACTTCATAGTGGGATAGAGAGTATGAAGCTTGGAGTTATTGGAAAGGGGTGTGGTTGCAGTGTTACTAAGATGAAGTCAGTGGACCTCCGGGTTCCTCTAGACTTGGATCTCCTCTTTCTAGATAAGGCCAGGGCATATCTACATGTTATTCTACAAATGTATGTAATAATAGTTTTATAATATGATCCAGTCTGGACTATTTGACGTAGTACATTCAGGCGGTAAATTCAAAATGAAACAGAAGTAGCAACATATCTTTTTGTCAGTATAACATCTGTGTGAAATGGATTGTCAAAAAAGAAAAAAAAGTAGGGTGGGGACTTGCTTCTATACATTGGTTGTTGATTGGATAAAGGGAGGTGTGAATGTGAGCTTGCAGTTGATTGTAGGAAAGGAAGGGGAGAGGGGTTATGCAGATTAAATGACTGGAGAAATCCAGCATACTAGAGGGAATTTGTTTCACCAGAAGATGAAGTTATGATAGTTATGACATTTTAATAAAAAATGATGAGGTCATTTTTTAATGAAACATGCTTGGATGAATTGGTTACATCGTCCCCATTAAATTAAAACAGGGTTGAATTTTGTGGCTTTTAGTCCATATCTGCTTTGAGGCATCCTTTGCAGACATGCATTGAAAATTTAGTTTTCTTCTGGGAAAACAGACCAAAAATCTTAATGACTACACTTATTTTTTATTTATTTTTAGTCCAATCAAATGCCTTCTAGAATAAAACAAATTGCACAATGCTCGTCCTTAAGAACCACTCAATTAGACAGGAAGGTGTTATCTGAGTGAGATGTAAGGTGACCAGCCAAAGATTGTTGTGTGATGTTTACTTTCTACCATGAACCCTTGCAAACTTTAACAAATACTCTCGACTATCAGAAAAGCTCATAGTTGCTGCCTTGCAACTTATAAACCTTTTCTCAGCAGACCAATACAAACCCGTGCACTCTGACCTCTGGAAATTGTGCCAAGTCAGCCAATCACAGTTTGTTTTGGAAAAGCACTTCCTTTTTTGCATTCAACGTGCTACAGATATGCAACCCATTTGTGACTGAGACCAGGAAGGAGCTAAATAAATTCTTTGGAGACAGCTCCACTTATCAGTATTCCTTAAATCAATGTCTTGGAACTTGGAACTTGAATTTTTTTCCATGCAGAGTTTTTCCATCAAGAGAGCATGAAGAAATAGAAGAGTGATCATTAACAGGCAATTCCCTCTGCTGGACGGTATCTTACAGACTAAAGTTCCCCATAAGGAGTCATAACATAATATTTTATGTATTAACATTACTCCTCCAGTGCTCTTTCCTCTTCACTTTGTTGTGGTATCTTTTTGTACCTTTCCTATTCTGTCCTTCAATCTTTCCTTCCAAGACTCGCCAAGGCCCTAATAGGATATATCGAGGGAGGCTTCCGTTCTGCTGTAGTCATGGCAACGAGGCTCTGGCGGGAGTTGGAACGACTGTGATGTAGCCTCCCCACACCCCTCCGCCTGAGCACACACACACACACACACACACACACTGACACACCACCCCACCCCCTCACAACACTCCCACTCCCTCACCATACACTCCTAAAGCCGTAAGACACAGAACACCACATACCTGCAGGGTTACACACATGCTCGCATCCGCATACACCATACATGCCTGCCATGCACTCACTCTGGAGCTAACGGGTACATTTAGGCACAAAGATGTTCTCCACACCATTTTATTCTCATCCTCTTCACACACATACAGCCTTCTTTGTGTCTAATGTGCTTTTACCCAGCCGGCGCTTCATAAAGACTCGACTCGGAACCAGTGTTTATTATAGAACAGCTTTGCCACTGGTCAGAAATCTGTAGAAAGATTCACCGGGGAAAAGTTAAAGGCAGCTGCTGTTCTTTGAGTTGTTCAGTTTGGGAAAAAGTCCCTTGGAGTTGCCGTTAAGATCTGCTGTCGATTTCACCTGCGCAATCTGATACGGTTGTGGCGGTTGTGAAAAGGAAGTCAGGGGCTCTCCGTCGGTTGCCAGGTATTTCAAAGTTGTGCGCTCAAACACATCACAGTTGGAGTAGGTCTTCATAGACATTGTAACCCGGTAGGTTAGTGAGGCCCAGGGTGGGTAGTTGGTGAATTGTTTGTGGGAGAGGCTACATGACACTCCCTTTCAAATGCTAGGCAGGGCCACAAACTTAGATGCTAATATCACCCTCAGCTACTACCGTTTCCTTCCACTCCTATATTTTATCATCCGTATCTGTACACCTAGGGCTGGACAATAATTCAATATCAAGTACACCACACCCTGCAGAATCCTAAACGACTGGCCTGACTAAACAACATGCATCCTAAACCTGCAACGGGCTTTCAGAAACTCTTGAGCTTGAGTTTAGGGTAGGATACACACCGGATTTTTTGTCAAGCATGAATCCAGTCTGCTTATACTGACATTGAGTGGTTGTAACTGGGATGAGAGAAGAGATTTATTACAGGGCTAGTTTGCCTGTGAACCTGGGTCAGTGTACTGGAGTCTTTGACAGTGGTCATCATTCTGACTGTTTAATGGTAGACTGGAGAGACAAAACAAGATGGGCTCTTATTTATGTTCCTGACTTAAGCAGACAGAAGTCTTACCGCTTTAGGTCTTTAAAGCAGCATGTACCAAATGTTCATTTCCAGCATAATGAGCAGAGCTCCAGACAACCGGACTAATATTTGACTGCAAGGATGTCAAGAATACCAGTACTTGAAGCCTACATGCCATTGTTTGAATGTGTCAGTAGTTAGTGTATACCATTTTCAGTGTGTTGTGGTATCAAGAATCTTGATTGGTTCCTGAAATTGATGACCATATTTGATGGTGCAGCATTATGCTTTTACAACATAAAGTAGTTCGCATAGTGCAGCACCAGTGCTGGGTAGTGGGTAGTAACTGATTAAATGTAATTTGGATTGCATAATAAGATGTAATTTGGATTACATAATCAGATTCTAAAAATTGAGTACTTGTAATTGATTTCAAAGATTGCATTTCAAAGTACTCATTATCAGATTGCAGTTACTTTTCTATAGATTACATGATTGCATATTATTTACACAATGACAGTAAATAATACAGAATGTATTGATTCATCCTAATTCATTTTTTCTCTTATTTTTATTTTATTTATTTTTTATTCTATGCCTTATATACATTCAGAAAGTGTTCCAGCTTTATGGAACTGCACCAGTCATTATTCAGGTGACTGTAATCACACGTAAATGGAAAGGTCACACAATTAGTTTGCTTTAATATTAGTTTTATCACCTCATGAACCCCAGTTTAGGAAACCTTGGAGTAAATAAATGTTTAATGCACTTCATGATGATAATGACAAAGAATGAAAAAAATTCTAATGGGTTAGGTCAAAAGTAATCTAAAAGTTAGGGGTGCGCCGATCCAATATTCAGTATCGGTATCGCTTCGATACTGGCATTTTCTGCTGAATCGGGGATATCGGTCAGACGAGACTGATCCAAATCCGATATTGTGCATATACTATTGTGTTATTGTTAAGCCCCACGAAAGGCACAAAAACATTATAAAGCACGCACCATAAAGTTTCCGTGCACTATATTTCAAGTGTTCTGAAACCGTTCCATAGTTTAATGTGAGGTACAGATTAGGGGTCGACCGTGTATATAAAAACAATAGAAGTCTATGTAATGTCCCAATTTAGATAGCTAAGTAAACGTGTGTGTGTGTGTGTGTGTGTAAAATAGTATATCAGTCTGGCGAGTAAACAAAAAAATTTACTAGCCAGTGGCGATTATATTGCCAAGGTGTGCGTAGAGGGTTGCTCTAGGATGATACAATGTTCCTATTTTTATACTTGATTTGTAGATAAACATCAGTGGTTTTGCATAAAAGGAATTTATCTTGCTGTAGTTTAGTGCTAATTCTAAATCATGTTACTTTCTACCGGGTGTCTGTTAGATCACTACACTGGAGTTTGAATTGTTCTTCACGCGCACAGTAACTGAAATTTAAAAATGTTAAAAGAAAAGGCTCAATAAACTATCGCACAGATATAATACACTACGCAGCCATCAATGTCTCTTCCCTTTGTGCTTTGAACTTTCAACGCTGCACGCTGTGACTCCGTGTTGCTTCAAGCGCATCATTCTGCACACTGGATGCGCATTAAGCGCTTTGTGCCGCTCTGTATTGGAGCCTTTCATGTTATAATACTTTTGCGCAAATTGCCAATGAAAGATTGTTAATAGCCTTTCTTGTTCTGTCTTATCTATCATATGTTGCTGCATATGCAATGTATTTAATTTATTGCATATATTTATATATAATTATATTTACTTGCTTTTCATGAATGTATATTACAATACAAAGAGCAGTGTGTAACATTTTACCAGATTACACTTATTTACTTTTATTTTCCAATGATTATATATTTTTTAATTTGTTATTTTTCTTTATAATGAAGTTGTCTATATTTAGTAGATTGTGTGTAATACACAAAAGAGTGATGATCAGGTCAACACACACTGAGGTATAGAAATGTGTAAAAAAAATAAAATAAATACCTGTATCGGTATTGTCCGATACTCAGAACTTTTGGTATCTAATCGGTATCGGTTCTGAAAAAATGGTATCGTGCCACCCCTACTAAAAGTAACCTAACAGTAGTCAGAATACATTACCTAATGTGTGTAATCCAATAGATTACGTTACTAACTACAATTTCCGTTATGTAATTTGTAATCAGTAATGGACTACAATTTGTAAGTAATCTACCCAGCACAGTTCAACACCATTGTCCTATCTTTGAATTTTGAACTTTAGTAGTAGAAGCAGCCCCTCCCTGTTTTTGTAAGACGTAAAAACAATTGTCATTAACGCGTAGAACTTCATGATCCAAGACAGAAATGCACATAGTTGCAGTCAGTCATTTGTTGTCTGTTGTAATTGATTAGTAACCTTATTTGTAACAGAGCTTTTTCATCTCTCAGTACTGTGGTGGAATGTAAACTCTCTTGGGAGTATTATTAATGGCCAATTTCCCCGTTAATGGTTGTCGGTAAGGTCAGCAGAGAGTCATACTGCCATGATCAGTCCATCATTCCTAACAATGTTAAACGGAAGGATTTTTCACCGGAAACTCACATAATAGTTCTAGTTTCTTTCTCTCCCTCTCAATTTGTTCTGCATTTCTACACAGTGAGAAACAGGGAGCGGTTTTCTCTGCGCTGCCAACCTTTACCACGAGTAGTTGCTCTTCTGTCCTTGCTCTTATGTTTATGCCAATAGTTTCTCACTGGACTACTCTGTTCACTTTGTATGTTTATGTGCACTTGATATGTTGGTTGTTATTTTGTTTTGATTGGTTTGTCTGTGTTTTACCTGTGTGATTTGTTTATAATGCAGTACATCCACAGCCAGATCTTCTATAGTAGTCAGCTTTGTGTAGTGGGAGGAGCAACAGCAGACTCAGTGGGTGTGGCATCAGGCCGTATGTTATACTTAACATAAATAAAATTAGTGCTGGGCGGTATGAACAAAAATTTATATCACGGTATTTTTCAAAATTATACCGGTTTAGCGGTACATGACGGTATTTTTTTCATGCATGACCGGGTGTTAAGCATATTTTCTACTGATTGAGAGAGGAAATACTGCAGTATATTGACTTAGAATGCCCTATTTTACTGTCATGATGAGTGAATATTGTCAAAAAATACCACACTAAATAGTGACTAAACACGACCCCTTTTAATGTTAACCAGGAGTCTCGATCATTTATAATCGCGGCATCGTCTGATAAAATCAACATGCATCTACACTAAAGAGCGGCTATGCGGTTGTTTTGGCTATATTATTTTATATATATTTTTTGTCTCATGCAGCGCACTGCCTGCGTCTGAGTTGTTCTATTAGTTCTACAGCTTCAGTTTCTGAACTTTCACGCTTAGTAACACATACAGCTGTTCCCTTTCAAACAGTGTCGCGTTCCGAACGTTGTTTAAGCGACATACACCGGTATTGCGGTATTTCAAAAATTCATATCATAACAAAAATAAACACCGGTATTCGGTATGAACCGGTATACCACCCGGCACTAAATAAAATCCCAAAAAAGTACCAAAAAGGGGAATAACGTGTCCAAGGGGATAAAAGTATCCAAAATAAACAGGGGAGCTGGTGTCCTCGCTGTGACTGGGAAGTCGTGAAGGCAGGTAGTGTCGAGGGAGTGTAACCCAGGTAAAGGGAGGCGGAGTCCCTTTATATCAACATGACTGATATTCAAAATTGTAAGCAAGTGCTGCTTTGTTTACGTTTAGTATATCTACGTATATCTCTTATATCCTTGTTTCGGTTTCTCCTTTTAAATGACGAATATATACTATTGATAACTGATGATATAGACATAGACTAATTCCTCTCGTGTTAGTTTGCAGTTGGCTGTAGTCAATAATTTGGTGACTTTGGTGTTGATTTGTGAAGAAACCTGTTTGTTTCTCACAATTAGTTTTTGTTTGCATCTAATTAATGCAACCCATATGTATAGCTAATATGAATGTTGTTGTAAAAGATCTCACAGATTAAACACAATTGGTTTTGATAATGACAGCCCCAAGGCTCGTCCTTCTCTCAACACTCACTTGCTGCCGCAGGCCTAGACAGTTTCCTACAACTGCTAATAGATATTGAACACACTCAATTAACATCCCACACAGCACGCTAGTGATAATTGGGTCACTTATCGACGTCGTTCTCCCGACACCAGCGCTACATCTTTACGTGATTTCTGTGAGATTTGTGCAATGGAAAACAACTCAAGAAGATGAGAAAGGTGGAGTGGATGAAGGGTGGGGATGCAGAGAGAGTGAGGTGGCAGGGTGGAGAACTATAGAGAGACTGAGAGAGAGAGGTGGGCGGGATCGAGAGAGAGAGAGAGAGAGAGAGAGAGAGGGAATATGAGTCAGCTGATATACCTCCCAGTTTCCATGACAACCGGAGGCCTTTCCCACCCACTCTCCCCTTATTCTCTGTGTTTCGCTCCCACCCCGGCCCACTCGCTCTCGTTTTCTCTCACTTGTTTCCTCCCAGCACCTCCAGTTACACAACTCAGCTGTATTACTTCTGTCTGTACCTGTCTTCCCTTTGTTTTTTTTACTTTATTGTTTGACGTCATGAGAATTTGCCATGCTGAAAATGTAATATTATGTTTTTGATGACGTCATTTAAGCATGTGAATTGGAAAGTTCAGCTTCAAGTTGAAAGATCTCATTACAACAAATTGACTTAAAACTTTATTATTAATGCGGGCATCACTATAAATACTTAATACCTATGATTGTGTATTCAGAGAAAAAATTTAGATGAGCATATAATAAAAGCATAAAATAATAACAAAAGTAATTTTGTTGTTGAATACTTTGCCAAAAGCTTTAAAATGCCAGTTTAAAATGTAGACTGCCATCATTGGGAAAAATATTTTAAATATTTTAATTAGTGGCTACAGCAAGCAGGATGTGAAAGAAAAATCAATTTCGAATAGTCTGAATAGTGTTTTTACATCCTTAGAATCCCATAGGCTTGCATTGAAGAATGAAACTAGAGACCCAACAACTGCTAAGCAATGTGCTAAAAACCACTCAGAACACGTTATCAACCACATAGCAACACCCTGACAACCACCCACAACATCCTATCATCATGGAAATGAGTTTTGCACGGATAGGCAGCACAAGTTTAACGTTTTAAGTTCAGTGTTCCCTTGCTGATGCTGAAAACACACCAACCTCTCTGTTTGCACGAAGTGTCATTCAGGAATTAGTTTCAAACTTTTCATTTGTTTTATTACCTCACAGAAAGCATAAACACACAGGCCTTAAGGCTACTTAGAAGTCTCACTGCAGAGGGACACACAGATCTTTGTGTATGTGTGTATAAATGTGTGTGTCTGGGCTTGGCTGTGTTAAGCTGGACTCATGCCAGGTTTAGGCCTTCTCCTCTGCAGCGCGGAGGCCCAATCTGGCCAGCCATTGTTCCTGTGTTTTGTGGAGCTGCTGCACAGCTGAGCATGAGCGCTCTGTACCCTCCCTTTCCTTTCTGTCCTTCGTAATCTCCTTCCTCGCCTCGTTTGCTCTTCCATATTCGTTCCTTATCTCCCTTATACCCTAGTTTTCCTCACAGTTTTCTTCTATTTTTGTGCTTCTACAGAAACAAGAGCCGTTAGACGATTGTCCCGAGCCTACAGACCTCAAAATCAAATCCTCGCCCCCTCCGCTCCGTGACATCAGCACCCAACACAACGATGACGACCAGACGGAACCCGTGGACCTGTCCCTCAACAAGCCCCGCCCCTCCTTTCCGGTAGCCATAGCAACCTCCACCCCTGCGAACCCGCCTCCTCAGAACATCATGGCGAGCGCCACCATCCCGGCGGTGCTGTCGCCGGGCTCCATCCTGGCGTCCACGCAAGGGGTCGGAGGTCAGCAGATCCTGCATGTCATCCACACCATACCCTCCGTGAACATGCCCAGTAAAATGGGGCAGCTGCAGACCATCCCAGTGGTGGTGCAGTCCTTACCGGTGGTCTACACAACCGTAGCCACAGACGGAGTGGCTACCGCCACCATCACAGTACCTCTCATCGGAAGCGACGGCCGGTCGGAGGGGTCAGGTAATATGGCACATGCTCAGCTGTAGCACTAGAATGAGCTTCCACAACCTCATAAATCTACATAATAGCTACAATAGTAGGGTTGGGAATCATGAACCTGTTCTTATTCAGAACCGCTTTCATTTTTACAACATATGTTTTTCTTGTAGTTCGGTTCCGTTAACGTTTCTAGAGCGTAGCATGTGTGTGAATGGACTGTGAGTTTGAAACAAGAAATGTTTCTTTTGTTTTATTTATATGCCCATTAATGGTTTAAAATAAGCTAACTTTAAAAAGCTCTTTTAAAAATGTCTTTTTAACAAAAAACAAAACAAACAACAATATAAATAATAATAATAATAAGCTTTAAAATGCCAGTTTAAAATTGTACATATTTTTTATATTTATTATATATTTAAATATTTAAATATTTATTATTATATTTATTATTTATTTAAATATTTTTTAAAATTCTTAATATTTTAAATATAATTAGTGCCTACAGCAAGCAGGATGTGAAAGAAACAGTAAGATAAAATACTTTTACACCAAGGATGCATTAAAATTGATCAAATGTCTATTTCTGTTTTAAATCAGTGCTCTTCTGAACTTTCTGTCAATCAAAGAATCCTGAAAAACATTTATCACTGTTTCCACAAAATCTTTTGCAGCCCAGCCATTTTCAACATTAATTATGATAAGAAATGTTTCTCGATCACAAAATCAGCATATTAGAAAGATTTTTAAAGGATCATGCAGCAATAAAGAATGGAAAATTAATTACAATTTCAAATGTGTTCAGATAGAAAACAGTTGTTTTAAATTTTACTAATATTTCAGTTTCTTTATTTTTATTTGATTATTTTTGATCAAATAAATGTTGCATTAATGAGCATAAGGGACTTATTTCAAAACCATGAAAAAAGTCCTACTGACCCCAAACATTTGAACGGTACTGTATTCTGTCATTGGGTTTGGTCATTTAAGCGCGTTTATAATTGAACTGAACAGAGGCAGATATATGCAACAACATTCTTTACTCGTTTCTCAAACTACATCAAAAAGCATAACACATGGAAATACAAATCTGCTTTAATTCAATGATAAAACTTTCTGTACACTTTATCTTACATGTTAAGATCAGTTCTAATCATTTTTGAAGGCCCAAGATCAGTTTTTAGAAACCGAATTCAGCATTTGTAGTGTTAAATTGGATGAATCTTTTAATGCTTTTAAACCCATTTACTTGCATCATTAACGTCGACAGCTCTCATTATAACCATTTTGTTGAAATCTGAAAGGATTAATCTCATCATTTGACAGCTACTGTAAGAGCAGTAAATGCACTAAGTCTTATTTTCCAAATATTGTCTATTCTTTCTTCCTCAAAGCTACTAAAATTCTCATTTAAGGAACCCGAATCATTAAATGGAATAGAAGCAGAATCATTAATTACTTTACAATCCCCATCCATATTCAATAGAATGAAATCAAGTAGAAATGTTCTTGTAGGCATGCGTGAAGTGCCATTGAAAAGCAAGAATGCAAATATGAGCCTGGGATGGATCTTGTCTCCTCTTTTTGAAACTTCATATGGCACTGCTGATCATCTGTCCGCCCGTTTCCTTTAGGCAGTCACACCCTTGGTCTCGCCCTCTTGAAGTTTCGTGCCATTGCCGTTTAGTTATCAGCATACTGACGCTGCTTCATCCCACACATGTGGACGTGCATATAAAAGACACAAAAGATGATTTCAGGGCGAGGCAGATGCAAGCTTAAACTTTTAATTAAAGGAGATAATAAAGCAAATCTTACCGGTCTTTATTAAAAAGCTGTTATTAAATAGAAATTGCTTAGTAAAATGTACACGCTGTTACAGTTTCAGTCATGAAAAGTTTTTTTGGTAACACTTTCTGGATGCAACATGTTCATTGTGTTATAAATCATCATACTCTTAAACGCTATAACCACAAATAAGTAAATATTATATTACAACTGTTCTTATGAATATTCATGAGATGATACAACATATTATAAGGTTTTTTATAATGCATTATGCATTCATTATAATGCCTTAAGAATACCCTTATAATGTATTATAAATACGGGCTTCATAGAAAGTGTTACTTTTTTTTTTTAGGTTTCTGAAGCCTTTTTGTTTTAAACAAACATATTTCATCAGCTTTTGACAAGCTGTTTAACTTTTAAGCAGGACAAATGATAAAACTTAACCGTAGTAGCATAGTTTCCCACAAATACCATAGTTATAGTGGTTATTAGTGGTCTTGCTAGGCACTATTATTATTTCTCAGTTGTAGGGGTTTGTTGAAATTTCTAAACCAAAGTATTAAACTTTGGTGCATAATTTGTCCCAAGACGAAACTGTGGTTACTGTGATACATTTTTGAGAGATTAACCATCAGTATTTAGGTTTAAGACTACAGTTTTCTTCCCGAAAACTTGGATCTTTCCATGATTCACCCCTCTTCAGAGTGAAATGGTTCGGTCCACTTGAGTCTTTTTCTTCCCATTGCCCTTTTAATCGCACGGCTTTCAACCTCCCCTGAAAAACACCATGCGGGTCTTGGACCGTAATAAGAACATTAAAACACAAAACAAGGCTGAATGAAATGTGCTGAATGTTTTTTAATAGGGGAACCCCACCCAAATAAAACTATGAAGAAACACTAATGCTTGTTTAACACAACGTCTGAACTCAGGGAGGAGTTGTGCTTGGCTGTTTTTTTTTCTCAGTTATTAACTTTATATGTAGCTCCGTGAAACCCAGTTGAATGTAATGGACACATTATGAAGGTCAGTGAATTGTGTTATTTGGGTGGGGACCATCTTCAAAGAGACCGTAAAGTAGATCAGTTTCTTTTGGACTCATTTTATGGGAAAACTACCAAGGTGGAGGACGCAGTGTGCTTTATTGAACAGGTCCATAGCACCCCAAATTGTCTCTAGTGAGAGGCTGTATATGAAGAAGTATCTCTGTATATGGGTTTTTTGAGTAATGTGGGGCAGTTGGGTTTGGGGAGGAGACAATTAATGAATGGGCAGCACCCTTCCCCCTTCATTTAGAAGGTAATCTTTGAATACTCTCTCTCTCTGGGGCTTCTACAAATCATCTCCTCTGTGGCGGGTTAAAGGTCACGTCCAGAGATCTCAGGCCAGTACTTAACTATCCACACCCTGTGTCAATATGGAACATGTATTTAACTTGTAATATTTTTTTTTCTCTTTTTCTTTGTCCTGTGGACTTGTGAACTGTCTGGATGCCAAAAAAAAAACACACACACAAAGAAGACTTCTTGCAAATTTATAATAATGGTCTGAATCATATTAGGTCCTGGAAGTGATGTTGTTTGAATTAAACTTTAGGCAGGAAGGCCTTTCTGTATTTGATTTATTGGCTTGTTTGAGAAATGGACCCAGTGCTCTACTTGCACCTTATTTCAGTGTGAGGCTTTTCAAACAATCATTACATATGAACAGAACAACATATACAGTGGGGTTCTAAAGCATGAGACCCCAGATCTGGGATTTAAAAACAAATTTCAACCTGCAAATTTGTGGCATTGATCACGTGAACTCCTTTGTATAAATGATATTTAACAAAAAATGCTCATTGGTAGGGTCTGCTCTTAAAAAATAAGATCAGCTCTTAAAAAATAAAAAATAAAATCAGCTCTTAAAAGTATTCAAAACCACTACCATTTAATAAAAAGTAATTGGAACCAAAAATATAAGTCAGCTCTGTTAATGATGTGCATTCTTACATGCATACAAAATTGCTCTAGTGGCACCACAACACTATTGAATCCAATTTCCAAACATAATGATTCTTTTATTGGATCAAAACAATACATTGTGACCAGTATAGTCCAACCGATTGCCGAACTAATGACTCTTTTGCATACAGCTTATGTTGTTCTTGTGACAACATGCAGTTAGATTTAGCATATTATGTATTTTACAGAAATGATCTTGTTAGTTAATATATATATATAGTTAACTTAATTTAAACCAGAAAAAATAGCTATTTGAAAAAAGTAAAATACATAAATATAGAATAAAACTTATTTTATGTGAGCTAGTTGCAAAGGCAGCATTTCTCATTTTCATTTAGTTTAACTTGATGTACTAAAGTAACTAAAACTGAAATTAATAAAAGCTATATAAAAAATAAAAAATCTGATAAAAGACAAAAATGCGTATGACTTTAAAAATAAATTGAAAAACAGAAAATATAAAAAACTAATTCAGAATAATAATATTAATAGAAATAAAGGATGACATACTTAAAAAGCTGAAATTCATGCTAATATTTCAATTGATAATTTCACTCAAATGTCTCTGTTTCTTTTTCAGTGCGTATAAAGCCTGGCTCAACCTCTCCAGTCGAGTATCAGTCTGACAGTGATGCTGAGAGCGGCACAGAGTCTGGATCGGCCTCTTTCAGCACACAAGGGATGGAACCCAGGTGAGAGAGAGTGTGTCTGCATATCCATATACATCTGTATATCTCATTGTTGGGATATGTATATGGTAGAGCGTCTGTCCTCCTGGTCTAATGGCATCATTGCACCACTCCTCTGGATGATTATGTAACCTTCAGCACACTGGAGGCCCATGGCTCTTTTTGCGTTGATTATAAGCTGGATGCATCCTCTTCTGTTGGGTGTGTGTGAGTGTGTGTTGCTGGGCAGGGTTCTCTCTAAACTGGGTGTAAACAATGTTACATAACTTGCAATGTCGTCACACCTTTGAAAGTGGGAGTAAAATGCAAAGAAGGACAGACAGAAGTGGCAGGGTAACGGGGCAGGATGGAGAACAAGAAGGTCTTTTGCCGGTGTCTGTATAATTGTTCGGACATGCAGTCAGATGATTGCTGGGAGAGAGAAAATTCGATGGAAATGAGTTGGGAGAAAGAGGGGAAAGGGAGTGAACTGGTTTGCAGCCAGAGAGGGGAAAGGAAGAGGCTGAGAAAGAGAAAGAGAGAGGAAGGAAAGGAGGGGGGAGAGAGACACAGGCTGAAAAAAACATCGCAGGGGGAGGGGGGATTGGAGCGGGAAGGGAAAGGGAGAGAGATCGGCATTGAACTGGAAGCTCTCCAGCTGTATGGAATTTAGATACACATACATCCCTGCTCTTCAGCCCTCCCTGGTGGCCAGTTAGGATGGTTGCACCAGGGGTCCTGTCATGGTGCTATATATTACTCATACTTCTGTGATGCCCCAGAATCATTTTAGGTAGCATTTTTACACTGCCAGATTATTATATGTATGCATAGTCATTAGAGGCTCATATTTGATTTTATTGGTTTTATCATTTAAAATCAGTAGGGTTTTTAAAACAGATGTCAGTTTTGCTATCTGGCATCCTGCGCACTGAAATAAATAAATGCCATTGCGCTTTTAAAAGGTTTTTATGTAACATAGTAATAATAAAAATAAGCCAAATGTAAGCTAAGCAATGTGTAATTTAAACTGAATTGCAAATAAAATAATGGTCGTTTCCAAACAGGTTTCTCAGGGCTTGGCGATATAGCTAAACATTTTCTCTCTATATATATATATATATATTACAATATTTGATATATCAGTATTTTTGCATTTGCGCTCAAAAAATTTAAAAAGGTGATCTTGAAATAGAAGTGATATCGATATAAAATTGTTACAAAGCACACATACAGTTTTTTTTTTACTGCTAAATCAGCACTCATTAAAAAAAAAAGAAATGAAGACATTGACTATTTACTGCATTTTACTAAATGAACACAACATTAACATTTTAAAATCATATGTAGTTAAAGGTACCAAAATAAAAATAGAAAAAATAGTGCAACTTTAAAAAAAAATTTTTTAATCTTTTTATTGGCATTTGTGCTTTTTTATTAGTATAGTGTCAAAGACACTGTACCTTAAAATGTTACATAAATTAATCAAATGTAAGGCCGTGTAAGCTAGTAAATGGAACACCCAAGAAGGGGTGATTCATTTGAAAACTTATTAGTATCACTGTGCAGCGACACTTAACCTCCGGATTCTCGTGAGGAATGTCCATGAAACCTTTTTGAAAACAGTTTTTGTGTTTGGTGCCATTAGTGGTGCAGAAATGCCATGCTTCATCTAAAAATTTAAAAAGGTGATCTTGAAATAGAAGTGATATCGATATAAAATTGTTACAAAGCACACATACAGTTTTTTTTTTACTGCTAAATCAGCACTCATTAAAAAAAAAAGAAATGAAGACATTGACTATTTACTGCATTTTACTAAATGAACACAACATTAACATTTTAAAATCATATGTAGTTAAAGGTACCAAAATAAAAATAGAAAAAACAGTGCAACTTAAAAAAAATTTTTTAAAATCTTTTTATTGGCATTTGTGCTTTTTTATTAGTATAGTGTCAAAGACACTGTACCTTAAAATGTTACATAAATTAATCAAATGTAAGGCCGTGTAAGCTAGTAAATGGAACACCCAAGAAGGGGTGATTCATTTGAAAACTTATTAGTATCACTGTGTAGCGACACTTAACCTCCGGATTCTCGTGAGGAATGTCCATGAAACCTTTTTGAAAACAGTTTTTGTGTTTGGTGCCATTAGTGGTGCAGAAATGCCATGCTTCATCTTTAAGAGTTTCGCAATACAAGTTTTTATTGTATGGTTTTATTGTATCGTCTAATTTGATCACTGTAATCCCAAGGATGTTTGCTAGATTAATCAGTTTTACTCATGAAGATGTTTGTACCTGCCTTCACATGCACAAATGCTCCCTTAATCTTTAGATTATCGGATAGGTTTACGTATGACTTGAACTAGTCGCCACACCCTAATAACTAAAACGTGTTTTGTTCTCAGTATGAATACAGATGTGGACATCCAAGTTGACCCTGACTCACCAGACATGAAGAGAAGGCGTGCACCTAGTTCACAGTGACAAAACATGTCTTAACAGCTCCTGCCCTGATATGCATGATATGCAAAACTACCCCTCAATACCCCCACAAATGCTGTTGATGTTACTTGACATTAGTGTCAAGAAAATGTTGGGCACAGTCCACATAAATCTGAGGAGAGGGTATCTTTGACACATTTCTTCCCTCTAGCTAGCACTCATAGCCATGGTCATAATTTCAATCGCTAGCAGCTGATTAAGTGCACATCAAGCCTTTTTTCAGAAGCAACGCTTGTTCGATTCCAGCCTTTGAGAGTTAAGTGCATGTCTGCAGCAGCTGCACGACCTTCAGAGAGCAATGCATTCGTAAGATTTTGTATCGTTCTCTCGCTTCAACTCAAAAACGTTACTAAGCACATCTTTCTAGAAGAGTATATGCATTTGATTGCGGTCCTTTCTTTTTTTGAACTGTTCATAGTCATACAGACAATGAATAATTAAAGAGTTAATGTACATACTGTATATAATCTACAAAGTTCTTGAATAATGTAACGGGTGGATTTCTATTTTTAACACTGACTAGATAATGTGAAATACTCGTTTTCTTTTTATTTTTGTTGTTTCTTTGAAATGTAATTTTTCTTTCTTTTTTTTTAAAATCCCTTGAAATGAGTCCCCTATGTGTTGTACACCCCAAAAGTGTTGCATGGAGAGTAGTTTTTTTTTTTTTTTTGGTGAAGTCGGTGAGCATGTCAAAGCGTTGATGCCCTGACAGACGTGGCCTATAAGCACTGATAATCCACATGAAATCCATGAAACCATGGCCATTCGTAGCACATGCATGGCCTATTTCCAATTAGTACAAGACATGATGGTAAAAAACATATCTTCATATCATCCTAAATAGACATTATTCTAATCCAGGTTGGCGTAACATTAGGAGTCAGCCCCTTATCAATGTTTAAGTGCCCACGACTGAAATTTGTGACATCCTCGTCTATCTGAGCACGTTTGCATTCATCACTTGTTTCTGATTTGTTTAAAATAATGTGCGACCTTGTGCTCGAATCATGAAAGAGTTTGGGTTTCGTGTGAGTGTATGTGTGCAAGTGTGATTATCATTAAATTCTCTTTTAAACTTTCAGAATCATAGGTATTTTATATTGAATGCAGTAACTTATGGGCCAGTACTATATTACTCAGTGCAATGCAGTTATCATTATAACAAAACAAGTAATTAATGTTATTTCTTTTGTATTTGTACAGAACAAGTGTGTAAAGATCAGCGAGGAAAACGCAAGCTTTTTGATACTGTGAGAAATGGTGTTAAAAGTCAGTTTCCCCTGTACAGTTGTGATTACCCACTCCTTTTATAGAATAAAATGTTTTTGGTGCAACAAGATGTGTTGTGTATTATAATTCAGGTACAGTCTATGTTGTCTAATTGTTTTGTAACTGATAAAAAAAAAACAGGCTAATTTCATTAAGATCACTATCCTAATAGGATGTGTTCTAGTATCAACTAACTTATTTCTGGCTTATGAGGGGCCGTATAGGCCATAATTAGGTTGATCAGTGTTTTCACTAGTGTTTGTAAGAGGTTTTCAGTAATGCGTATGAATGAATTTCACTAAGGTTGATCAATGTTTTTCATTTCACTAGTGTTTGTAAGAGGTTTTTCAGTAATGCATATGAATGAATTTCACTAAGGTTTATCAATGTTTTTCGTTTCACTAGTGTTTGTAAGAGGCTTTTCAATAATTATGGCCTATACAGCCCCTCATACTGGCTTGCCACTTTTTTGACATGCATATTCCTACAGGAATATGTCCTACTTGATAAAATCACGTCACTCACGCTGGTATTAATCTCATTATTGAGCTTACATGCTCATTTTGTTTGTTCAAATGCATAAATGATCCAAATAAAACAATTCGGTGTTCAGTGTCTGCTGTGCAACCATGTGGCGGTAGTGAGATTCTGATCCTGCTGTTGTTTCAGGTTCAGCTGCAGCAGCGGTCTTTCGTCTGGCGTCCTCTAGTGGTGCACATGTAGTTTATGTCAAAGCACTGTGTGATAGTGCAAAATGTCAGTGTCCTCTTTTAGTGTCTTATTATCATTCCACTTATATCAAGTAGGTAAATATGTGTTATGGTGAAATATTTTATCATTTTGTCAATAAAATTGCCCGGCACGGTCTAGCATTGAAGTCAAAGTCCAACGTTGTAACTCGGTCAGGACTTTAAAGTTCATATTAAGTGGTGCTAGCCCTTTGTTTGTTCCTGAAATTATATTACCCCAGTGTCTGGGGGGATAAATTATGGTCAAACCACAATCTTTATGACACTCACTTCTCAACTGGTGCAATAATGATTAACACTGACCCTGACTGAGATACAAGCGATGCGCATTTATTGATCGTTCTTTACAGCAATTTCAGCAAACAAAAGTCGAACAAATGACATTTAACCCATCTGAAATATTATTTATTTTTAAAGACATGTGAAAGACTGTCTGACCAGCTTTATTTCTATCAAGCGGTGTAAGAAGCAGGGCAAGTTTTAACTGGATTCGCGCTGACTGCGTTAAGCACAGTTAACACCTCAGGAATGAGGTTTTAAACATTCTCAAGAGTTTTAGTTTTCTTCAGAGCAGTAGCGCTCACTATGTTTTTGAAATGGTTTGCATATTTTCATTTCCACAGAACACATGCTGTACTATAGTAAAATGGGTGTTCCCAAGTCATCGTCTGTTATTGTAGGCTGGATTTCATTCAGTAAATTATCTTGTCAGACTGTAATTAGAATCAATTTCAGCTAAAAGTTGTTCCCCACCCAATTTTAGTCCTTTGCTAACATCAATTGTTAGTACGATTTTTTTTTTTTTTAACAATACAACGTTTAACAATATAAGTTTGAAAGTTAATACTTAACAAAACAGGCGTGTCCGTTTAATACAAAATTTGACGAATTCTGGAAACATGTTTTGCCTTTATGCTATTTATAAACAATTTAAAAACACTTCGTTATATAGCCTAGGCCTATTCCCTCAGCAGTTATGTCAAGGTCAATAAACAATAATTAGCTACAACAGTTGAAAACTAAAGATAATCAATCCTTAAATACCTTACTAGTTTTAAGGTAAGTTGTCTCATATGATATAGATGCATAAGCAAAAGTCACCTTCTTATATAGTTCCAAGAATATTGCTCCTCATATAACACGGCTTACACGGAAATGTCTGTTTCCATCACATAAGTATAGGCCTATTAACCAGGTTGGCAATATTCAAATGACATTCCAGTAAGGACTTTATTTACAATCCTAGGACCTAATCATGTTAGCATATGACAAAAAAACTATTCAACAAGAAATGTAATTATTCTTTTATTTTCCAAAATTATGTATTCGAACAAGTACATACAAAATTCTAAACCGATCACTTAGTAGGCTATGCAAGATCTACAAACACAATTCACCCACATTCAAAAAACAAACAAAAAATCCCATTTGTTCAGAATAAAAACTATTATCTTCAAAGAGTAAAGTATTTACAAGAAGTTTAACTGTAACTACATTATGTACAGTATTTTTTGATCCACCAGAGTTCCCCTCATAAGTGAAGGACATGTACACAAAAAAAGGGAACTTGAGAACTTTTAAGCGTTTATAAACTGCGGTCACTATGCTGCATAGAGCCCAAGACAGGACTCAAGGGCATTACAAAAGGCAAATGCTACAATGTCCACAACTAATATGAATAATTTGTTCTTGGGAAAAGTGAGGGATTGATGCACTTTCTTCATTCAGTTTTAATGCTGCATTTTGGTTTGCATAAAACAATCAACTCTCTTGTGAAATACATATGAATAGCTAATATTCTTCTGGAAATTTGGCACACATGCTCAAATGCTTTTGTAAGCGCACTTGTCTCATTCATCAGCCTTTTTTCTGGCATTCAAAAAGGCGAAATGTCAAACAGATGACTGATCTGAGCGCTTTTTTAAAACAGTCTCATAAAGATCTGTACCCATGGATGCACAACTGTGAGAACAGCAAACATTAGATTTACTACTTTTTTTTTTTTTTATCATAGCATCTTACCCAAAAGCAAACAGCTTTTTCAAACAGCAGTGAGGGGGAAATCCCATGTAAATATTGTGTTATTGTCATCCAAAATTAACAATTAACTATTACCTTGGAATTAATAAATCAAACATTACATTTCAAGTTATTAGGAAGACGGTCCCAAAGGAACATTTTCAAATTTAGTCAGACAAAGTGGATGGAGGTCAAGTATAAAACTTTTCACATTAATCTACAGACATACACACATACAAAACATATGTACAGTAGTATACATTCTGCTGGAGCTCTTTGTTGTGATGTCCAGTCCTCTTCATGACAGTATAAACGTTTGGAGTGCTGGTACGGCAGAGCTTTCGTTGGTTTGATCTTCGTACATAACTGACTGTGAAATATTTAGAACAACTGTTATAAAAGTTGAAAAAGTAAGGATGTGAAGTTTGTTAGTTTTGATGGCGCTTCATGTGCAGTGCCAGGTGGTCTGAACGAGAGAAGCAGCGACTGCAGGCGACACATTTGAATGGTTTTGCGCCGGTGTGTTTGCGGTAATGCCGCGTCAGTTCGTCCGAGCGGGCAAAACGCCAGTCACATCCTTCCCAACTGCACTGGTATGGCTTCTCACCTAGAAAAATCACAACAAAAAGACTGTGCTGATTTACCTTAAAAACAGCTTTATGTATCAGTTTTCTGTTGCAACGTAATTTATTCCTGTGATGCAAAGCTGAATTTTCAGCAG